AATCCAAAACAGTCCAGTGGAGCCTGAGCGGTGGGTGTTGCCTTCTGACACCCTTCCGGTGATGTCAGGGGGTGTGGCATATGCAAATAAGTTATGCTAATGAGCTTTTGGACCTCTTTTTCTACAAAATGACCCCTGCTGTTAAGCATGGTACACATCTTTTTCAAAATTATGAGCCTATGAAGTGGCCATCTACCAAGTCACATGAACACATGAAACTGCCTTCTACTGAATCAGACCCGTGGTCCATCGGAGTCAGTATTGCCTATTCAGACGGGTAGCAGCTCTCCAGGGTCTCAGGCAGAGGTCTTTCCCATCAGCTCCAAGTTCTCCCTGATCCTTTTAACTGAAGATGCTGGGGCTGAACCTGGCACCTTCTGGGCAGGAGCTCTCCAAGGTTCCAAACAACAGAAGATGACCTGATACTCAGAAGAACTTAACTGGCCATAGGTATAGGTAAAGGTTTCCCTTGTTCAAAAGCTAGTCGAATCCAACTCTAGGGAACGGTCCTCATCTCCGTTTCCAAGCCGAAGAGCCAGCGCTGTCCGAAGACGTTTCCGTGGTCATGTGGTCGGCATGACTAAACGCCGAGGCACACGGAATGCTGTTACCTTCCCACCGAAGCAGTACCTATTTACCTACTTGCAATTTCTTGCTTTCGAACTGCTAGGTTGGCAGGAGCTGGGACCAGAGATGGGAGCTCATTCCGTCACGCTGCACGAGGGTCTCGAACTGCCGAACTATAGAAACCTCTGGTCTGCAACTTCAGTGGCCATAGCAGTGATTAAATGCTAGGACCTCTGGCATGGAAAAAAGGGCATTCTTCCACTCAGCCCTCTTATAATCTCCCTTATAAATAAAAGCCGAATGGTGGTGGCACTTCTCTAGAACATTCCACACGCTCCAAAATCAGTTCGCTCTCTGATCTGTCATTCAGAGGGTCTCCCTATCCACTGGCTGCTTTGCCTGAGTCCTGCCTTCAACGTTCTAAACATTTTGCTGTTCCTCTCCCCCCCATAGCCAGTCAGAACACAGAGTTTATTTGCATATGCAGCCTCATTGGCCTTTGCCTCGGAACACAGAGGTCGTTTGCATATGCAACTTGATTGGCTTTTTCCTCTAACATCCCAAACAGTTTGCTATTCTGAGGTAAAATGTGTCCAATCTCCAGGTGAGGGCTGGAGATCACTCAGAATTACAACTGCTTTCCAGACGGCAGGGATCAGTTCCCCTGGAGAAAATGGTGGGCTCTGTATCCTTATATGCTGCTGAGGTGGCCCCCATATGACAGCCAATGTGACGTAGCAGTCAGGGCTTCAGAGCACGGGAGAGGCTGCAGGTGTGTGGGGGGTGGAAAGCTGAAGAGTGAGGGGGAAATAAAGGTAGGTTGATGATTGGCTGGGAAGGAGATAGGGTTGCCAACTCCAGGTGGGAAATTCCTGGAGATGTGAGGGATGGAGCCCGGAGAGGATGAGGTTTCAGGAGGCGTGGGACCTCGGACAGGTACAAAGCCATAGACTCCACCCTCCAAACCAATTATTCCCTTCTGGGGAACCATCATTGCCAATCTCCAGGTGGGGGCTGGAGATCACTCAAAATTACAACTGTTCTTTAGGTAGCAGAGATCAGTTCCTCTGGAGAAAATGGTGGACCTTGCTGAGGTCACCACAGCAAATTGACACTGAGTGTCCAAGGCCGGGGTACCCGCCCAGAGCCTCTTTCTAGAGGCCGTTGTATTTATTTCCACAATGGGCCTTTTTCCTAGTAGCTGAATAATTCCCATGTTGTTTTTTTCTTTCCGTACTCACTTAGATCATAGACCGTGACACTTATTATCTTGGAACAAACCCCAGCCTTTACTAGCTCAATTTTAACGGCTTGGCTAGCTAATTAGCAGCCTGACAGCCCAGCCTAGCCCAATCCCATCAGAGCTTGAAAGCTAAGCAGAGTCAGCCCTGGTTAGTCCTTGGTATGGGAGACCACCAAGAAAGACTGGGCTTGCTACACAGAGGCAGATGATGGCAAACCACCTCTGCTTCTTGCTTTGAAAGCCCCATGTTCTTTGGGGGCACTGTGAGTTGATTGGGATTTAATGGCATGCAATTTTTTATTAGCTAAGTTTGGCATAATTTCATTTTGTCTACAGGTCTAT